ACACACACACACACACACACACACACACACACACACACACACTCACGCACGCACACACACACACACGCACACACTCACGCACGCCATGGGAACGTCTTGTGTAAGGGGCGTGTCCTGTGGAAACGGTGCAGATAGAACGCTCAGCAAACCCGGCCCGCCAGGCGCACACCCCCAGGAGCCGTGGCGCCTTGGAGGGGACTGGCCTCCAGCCCACAGTGAGCGTGGTCTCCGGCTCGGGAGGCCACGTGGCCACATGGGGTGCGGGACACGGACACGGGCTCCATGCCCGGCTCAGGGACCCCATTCCTGATGCCAGCCTGAGCCCCCTCTTTTCCAGGGCTGAGTCTGGAGTGGGCGCCGGCCCGGACCTGGTCCACATGGAGGTCCATGACCCCGCAGGAGGTAAGCCAGGCCGGGCCCGGACAGGTCCTGGAGCCGCTCTCCTCGAAATCCTGCTGAGGGAGGGAACCGGAAGCCGGGCGCTCCATTCCGGTGGGAAGTCTGTTCCTCACCCAGTCCCACCCCAGGCTCGCTGAGGTCTGCGGGGGCTCCACTGGCTCCCCCTCCGTGGGGTGGGGCTCCATGCTGGGGACTCCGGTGAACAGAGACCCCTGGCCCTGGCCGTGGGGGCAGCAGACACAATCAGCCATCTTGCAGGTGCAGCCAGGGGGCAGCAGGGAGGGGAGGAGAGGGCAGGGCCCCCCTGCCTGCAGTCCCTGCTCTGGCCACACTCCTCTGGGGACACCGGGCACCGCATCTCCTCCTGCTGTTTTCTCTGGGAGCGGAGCCCTCGGCAGGCGTGCACTGACATGGGCGCTGACATGTGCGAGCAGCAGTTCCCTGCGCAGGGCGAGCTCCGTGGAGGTGGTCAGGGCCGGCAGCTCCCAGCCCGCCTGTGCCACCACGGGAGCCTGGACTAGCGACCTCACCGCCCTGCACCTCAGTCTCTCCAACTGTGAAGTGGGTCAGTGCACCCTGGTGCTCAGCCCGGGTCGTGAGGGCGCTCCGGAAGGAAGCTGTGCAGGTCCTGTCCTCTCCCAAACCCTCAGCTCTTCCCTGGACCTGGGACTGTCGGTCCTCTGCTTCCCCCAGAGCAGCAGCTGCTGCTGGGCCAGGAGAGCCACGTGGCCACGCCCCTTCTTGGCTCCAGGGGCAAACTCCATCCTGGCTGGAGGAGGTGCGGTGCCGGTGTCCCCAGGGGAGTGTGGCCAGAGCAGGGACTGCAGGCAGGCGGGGCCTCCTCACTCTTCCCCTCCCTGCTGCCACCTGCAAGATGGCTGATTGTGTCTGTGGCCCCACAGGCAGGGGCAGGACTGGAGATGGGCCACGGTGGCTGTTACAGCACAGACGTGGGCAGGTGCCGTAAACCAGGGCTTTATTCCCGCCGTACAGCCCCTCGGCGCCGTGATAGTGGCGTTCATCTGTCTTGTTGGCACCTGGCCTGGAACACAGGCCTCACCACCGCGAGAGAGTCAATGAATGAGAGAGAGTGAGTGAGTGAGAGAGTGAGTGAGCGAGTGAATGAGTGAGTGAGTGAGTGAGAGAGTGAGGGAGTGAGTGAGTGAGAGAGTGAGTGAGCGAGTGAATGAGTGAGTGAGTGAGTGAGAGAGTGAGGGAGTGAGTGAGTGAGAGAGTGAGTGAGCGAGTGAATGAGTGAGTGAGTGAGTGAGAGAGTGAGGGAGTGAGTGAGTGAGAGAGTGAGTGAGCGAGTGAATGAGTGAGTGAGTGAGTGAGAGAGTGAGGGAGTGAGTGAGTGAGAGAGTGAGTGAGCGAGTGAATGAGTGAGTGAGTGAGTGAGAGAGTGAGGGAGTGAGTGAGTGAGAGAGTGAGTGAGCGAGTGAATGAGTGAGTGAGTGAGTGAGAGAGTGAGGGAGTGAGTGAGTGAGAGAGTGAGTGAGCGAGTGAATGAGTGAGTGAGTGAGTGAGAGAGTGAGGGAGTGAGTGAGTGAGAGAGTGAGTGAGCGAGTGAATGAGTGAGTGAGTGAGTGAGAGAGTGAGGGAGTGAGTGAGTGAGAGAGTGAGTGAGCGAGTGAATGAGTGAGTGAGTGAGTGAGAGAGTGAGGGAGTGAGTGAGTGAGAGAGTGAGTGAGCGAGTGAATGAGTGAGTGAGTGAGTGAGAGAGTGAGGGAGTGAGTGAGTGAGAGAGTGATTGAGAGAGTGAGTGAGTGAGAGAATGGGTGAGTAAATGAGTGAGTGATTGAGAGAGTGATTGAGGGAGTGAGTGAGTGAGTGGGTGAGTAAATGAGTGAGTAATTGAGAGAGAGAGTGAGTGAGAGAGTGATTGAGAGAGTGAGTGAGTGAGAGAATGGGTGAGTAAATGAGTGAGTGATTGAGAGAGTGAATGAGTGAGTGAGTGAGTAAGTGAGTAAATGAGTGAGTGAGTTAACAGGTAAGTGAATGAATGAGTGAGCGAGTGACTTCCCACCTTTAGGCCTGACCTAGGACGATCTCCACCATGTGTCCAGCCAGGCAGGCCCTGGGCAGCACACCCACTGTTGGCCGCAGGGAGTGACGAGGCTGCTTCCAGGGGAAGTGGTGGGTTCGGGAGGCAGTGGCAGTGGCAGTGGCACAGGGCGGCTGACCGTGTGCCTGACGTGCCACTGAGTCACTGCCCAACACTCCCCGAGGTGAGCGTTCAGACCCACTTAGTGGAGGAGCTGGCGCTGAGGCTGCCCCGCCAGGGAAGGGTTAACGGGTCCTCCAGTCCCGCCTGGGTCCCGCGGCGCTCTCCCCAGGCCAGGCCCCCGGCCCTGGGCAGGAGGTGCCCAAGGTGCCAGGATGCCGGCAGCCTTGCTGGGCCCCACTTTTGTTCCTGTGACTGAATCCCACCCCCGTCCCACAAGCTGGAGGGAGGAGCCCCCCACAGCACATGGCTCCAACCCCTCCTACAACTCCGGGGAGCCCCAACCCCGGGAAAACGGCCTGGAACAAAAGACCGCGCTGCCCGGCCAGTGCACGCTCAGCGTTACTCCCTGTGGATTCAGCAAAGGGGCGAGAGCTGCCCAGTCAGGCAGACAGACAGGCAGGCCCACCCCATTTAGGCAGGCGGGGCCCCTGGAGGGGGAGGGGTCCGTGCCAGGGTCGGCACTGTGTGTGCCCATTGTGGCCTGGTGCCATCCCTCCCGTGGGTGACTGCACGGGCCCAGGGCGGCCGGGTTGATGGGCACATGTGGACCTCCTGCCCAGCCAGTGTGGGTCAGTCTGAGGACCTCCCGCCAGGTGGTCCCGGGCCCGTGGTGTGCGGGCATGGAGGGCAGGAGTGGAGGGGCAGGGGCCGCGCGACTCAGCTGGCGGGCCACGTGGTCACTGCCACCAGTGGGCTCTGTCGCTCTGAAAGCAGCCACAAGCGACACAGGCGTGGCCTTGCCTTAGGAAAAGTGGTGGCAAAAGATGTCTGTGCTTTAGACTCGCACCCAACCTCTCCCTCGGCCTCCGTCTTCTCACCTGTAAGAGGGGCCATCGGCAGCTTCCTGAGGGATAAAGAGCTCATGGCCCAGAGGGCCCCCCCCCACACACACACACAGCAGCGGCTGTGGCCACAGGGCAAGTCCCTTAAAATGCCAACTCACCAACAAAACCGCAGGCAGACGGAGCCAGGACGGCCCAGCCTTCAGTGCGTCTGGGCGACTCGATAGATTTCAGCTGCCCGACGGCTCTCCTCCGCAGGCATCCGGTTCGTCACCGCCCACGTCCGCAACTGCTCCAGCCGGACGCTGAGCTCGCTGTTCGCAGGCCCCATAGACCACCGGTCCCTGCTCCTGCAGGACGAGTACATCTTCTTTAAGGTGCTGGCACTGCGGGCTCCCGGGAGCGGCGTCAGGGGACGGGGGTACCAGGGGAAATGCAGTCACTGGGCAGGAGGCAGTTTGATGTTCAAGTGCTACTGAGTCAGTTTCCCTGTGGCTGTGGCTGTGCCCATTCCTGGGCCGGGGTGCTGGCCTTTCCTGGATACCTCAGTCCACCTTGTTCCATACTCAGATGCAGGGCAACGAGGTGTTGATAGAGGAGGAAAGAGATTAGTTCTCACTGAAGGAGGTGGAGGAAGACTTCTCAGAGGAGGGGTGTTTGGGTATGGGGCTTTGAAGGATGAATAGGAGTTTGTTTATTTCAGGCAGAGCAGGTACAAGCAAAGTAAAAGGGCATATTTTCGTGTGCTGAATGCAAAGTGTTGTTTTTGATTCATGAGGATATGGATGGAAAGGGAACCTAACCCCTCAAAAACGTGCTTCTCTTTCCTGTTAGGCAACCTCAAGCAACCAGACCAAATACTACGTGTCTTACCGTCATAACGAGTTTGCCCTAATGAAGCTGCCGAAGTACGCGTTGCCGAAGGTGAGAGGCTTCCTCGCCCCCACCTCCCTCCCCCGTCACCCCCATGGCCACCACCTGAGCCTGCACTCACCGTGGGCACAGGACCCTTGCATGGATGTTTGGTGATCCGGATGGACAAGGCACTGTGGCTACGCTTCCTGCAGCTCCTCTCCCTCCCGCCCTCCGCGCCAGCCTCCCAGGGCCCAGCTTCATCCTGTCTCAGGGCCTCTGCCTTGCTCTTCCCTCTGCCAGCCAGTCTCTCCCCAGAACTCCTCCCATGCGAAGTTTCAGGAGAAACGTCACTTACCAGCGAGCCTCCAGGCTGGTCTAGGCCTCCCTCGCCTCCTCGCAGCCCACCTTCTCTTTCCTGACACCAGGGAGCAGGGACCTCTTGTGCCGGCCTCCCGCTTCCAGCTGGAGTTTGGGCACAGCTTCTGTCTTATCAGCCTCTGCTTTCCAACTGCCTAGTATGGTGCCTGGCACATAGTAGGGGCTCAGTGAATGCTACTTCCTTCCCCGTGCCTGGACAGACACCAATGGGGGAGCCGGGGGCTGCCCAGGCCCTGCTCCCAGCCAAACTGAGGACTGAACTCCACCGCCAACCCTGCGGACATGTTACTCCCGTCTGACAAGGGAGGTGATTGATGTCCAGAGAGGCCGAGTATCCTGCCTGGGGTCACACAGCCAGTGAGAAACCAAAGCGGGGCTCAGTCCCAAGTCTGGGTGGGTCTCCTGCTGCCTCTCCCTCCAGAGGCCGCCGCAGGGCCCCTTCGCAGCTCTCCACTCCACGTGCATCACTTAGAGGCAAAGGTGCTTGCAGCCCTGCCTCCTGCACATGCTCACTGGGCAAGTGCACGCCGGGAACTGATGCTGCCAGCGCTGTGACTCAGACCCCCCAGGGTCCCGCTGTAGTGGCGTCTCCAGAGAGGAAACAGGCAGGAAACCAAGTTGCAGGCAGATGAATAAAATAATTGCAAGCCATGATTTGTGTTGTGAAGGGAACGAGAGGCAGAGATAGAGTGATGGAGGGTCCCTGAGGGGGATATTTCATCTGAAGCCCAAAGGAGGAGGGGGGTGGGCTGTTCAGGTGGCAGGCAGAGCATGTGCAAAGGCCCTGGGGCAGGAGAGAGCCTGGCTGGAGGACAGAGTGTGGTGGTGAGAGGAGACGGGCTCTGGGTCCTACCAGCCTCGGGCGGTGGATTGCTGTGAAGTTCGAAGACATGAGTTCCTCAGCAGCCGCCTGAGTCAGAAATGGGAAAAGTAACGGTTTCACTTAGGGCAACCGCCTTGGCGTTCCTGGGGGTGAGTGTTGGGGAGGAGCAGGTGAGGGGACTTTTCAGCTTTGAGCAGCTTTCCTCCAGCCTGGGGGCTGCAGCATTGGGGTCCTGTGTCCTGGGCCCTCTGTCCTGGTGTCGGGTTAGGTGGACAACAGATCCCTTCCTGCCCCCCAGGCACTGGGACCTGGACCCCGGGCTGCTGCCCGTCTCCTGCAGGGACCGATGGGCACACAGCCTGCCTGGGCGGGAGCAGGAGGCCTCACGGCACCACCCCTGTGCTGCCTCTCCCCGCTGCAGCCCAGTGTGGAGGGTCAGGCTGGCACCCCCTTTTAAGGTGGGAA